GTTACTTAGGGGGTAAAGATGAAGATGAAGGTAAGGATAATCTCTGCATATAAAGTTTTTCATATGCCTCATTGTATGTTATTTTCTAAAATTCTTCCTTGTGGCAGAACTGCGTCGTGGGTTGGAACAAAAAACTGGTTATTTTACTCTACGACAAATTAAAGCAGCCACTGGTAACTTTGATCCTACAAACAAGATTGGTGAAGGAGGTTTTGGGCCTGTTTACAAGGTAATGATTACTTCAACAATATTATTTTTCACATTTGGTGTTGGCAGTAATAGCACGAATGTGAAATTTAATGATTATTAGCGCAAGAAATAGTTCCCTCCAAAACCCGTCTTCTGCCAGAGAGAGAGCTTGTTGGACTGATAGAGAAATATGTTTTCTATAGATGTGAATTTGAAATAACCTTCCTCAATTCGTAGGGTGTACTGTCAGATGGTTCTATCATTGCTGTTAAGCAGCTCTCGGCCAAATCAAAGCAAGGCAACCGTGAATTTGTTAACGAGATAGGCATGATATCAGCTTTGCAGCACCCAAATCTCGTGAGGCTTTTCGGTTGCTGTATTGAAGGAAACCAGTTGTTGCTTATATATGAATACATGGAAAACAATAGTCTTGCGCGCGCGCTTTTTGGTAAACACTTGCAACATCTTGAGCAGAATGTCAAATTTGGTATTTGTATCTGATTTCTCTGTAAATTTGTAGGTCGTGAGGAACAACGTCTACATTTGGACTGGAAAACAAGAAAGAAGATATGCTTGGGGATAGCACGTGGATTAGTTTACCTTCACGAAGAATCAGTATTGAAAATTGTGCATAGGGATATAAAGGCAACCAATGTGCTGCTTGATAAGGATCTAAATGCCAAGATATCTGACTTCGGTTTAGCTAAGCTGGATGAAGAAGAAAACACGCATATCAGCACACGAATAGCTGGAACAATGTTAGTGTTATCTTTCACATATTTGAACTTCACTATAATGCATTAGTATGACTGCTTTACAACATTCAGTGTTAACAAAAGGTCAGGAAGACAGCATGGTTTATGCATCCAAAGATATTGATACCCTAATTTATATACGCTTCTCTTAGCCTTTGTTCGCTGTTGATTTATGGCACCACACTCAATGATCTGGAGTTATATGCTATTTCTGCAGAGGTTATATGGCTCCTGAATACGCAATGAGAGGTTACTTAACTGACAAGGCAGATGTTTACAGTTTTGGTATCGTTGCCTTAGAAATTGTTAGTGGAAAGAGCAACACGGGTTACAAGCCAAAGGAGGAGTTCGTGTATCTTCTTGATGGGGTAAGTTTTATCCATTCTACTCCGTAATCCTTAGAAGATCTTCCGGGTCCGCTCTTCATGTTATGAACATTCAAAATGTCCTTAAAATAAACAAAATTTATATGTTCTAAGAGGTGCTAAATGTTTGTGAAGGCCTATGTTCTACAAGAGCAAGGAAACATGCTAGAACTCGTGGATCCAGATCTTGGTTCAAACTACTCTAAAACGGAGGCGATGACAATGCTGAACCTGGCGCTCTTATGCACAAATCCATCTCCCACTCTCAGACCAACCATGTCTTCTGTAGTAAGCATGCTTGAAGGCAAAACTCCAGTTCAAGCACCAATGAAGCGCGGTCCAGTGGAACAAGATGCAAGGTTTAAGGCCTTTGAGAGGCTATCACAAGACAGTCAAACAAACGTTTCCATATTCTCACAAGATAGTCATGTACGAGGCGCATCAATGGAGGGTCCGTGGGTTGATTCCTCGGTTTCTCTTCCTAGTAAGGATGAGAACATGGAACATTCCTCAACAAGCAAGCTACTTAATAATTTACAGTGATGAAAAGCTGAAGAAATGAAGGTTTTCAAATTATTTTTCTCAAATTCAATTGGTCCATATTTTTTTTAAAAGGAGATTATGAGACAAATATGTTTTGAAGTTATTGAAGAATAATTGGTTTCTTGATTTTATTTTTCCAGTTAATGTCAATATTATATTTCTCCCACATTTGGTGCAAAGAAACCTGCATTTTCTTTCTTCACCCTCACAATCAAATTGTGGCATGCTGTGTGAAATTTGGTGCTGCTCGTCGTGAAATTGTTTGGGCACATTCCCCCGAACATCTCTGCAAGTGTTCAGTGGACTGGTGTTAAGAGATAAATGCTGGGTGTGACTACAGCTCCCTAGAAAATAGTGTTCAAGTATTCATTTTCATACATTTCAATCACCAAATGACATGACACTTTTGTACATAATACATCAAAATCCAACATTTTTTACGAACGATAGAATTTACAATGGGATAAACCTCCGCAGAAAAGTTATGTATCAAATCAAACTCATCATAAATATGTGTCATCCTCACATTTATGTGAGTTGAATCGGGGATATCCTCCAACTAAGCAGAAACAACTACCAGTAGACAAAATACGAGTTTAGTTTCGAGATTCAACGTTCAAGATTTGTTTTGATGTATCATCCATTACTCCAATCAAGTTGGTGAAAGAAAACAATCTGGAAATTCCTAATTGAGCTAGCCGGGGATTCACCTGGGTAGTTGTGCCACTAGCCAACAGACAGATAACACTCCCACTATCGCTCAAAGTTTTTGAAGATTTCTTAGATTGAGACATGAACAAGTCCAGTGTTGAATTGTGTGTCATGATGCGCCATCCAATCTGAACCGCCTAAGTTATTATTGCCACGTCATCTCTTTCCCGCCTATAAATGGTCCTCCATACAGTTATTATAGTTGCAAATTGCAACCATTTCAGTCCCTAGTCTAACTGTATCCAGTTCCAAGTGCCACTTTTTTGTTCTAATTCATCACCATGGATGAGCCAGAAATTCTTGATACTGGTCTTCCTGGCGATCATCGTTTCTTAAAAACCCAGAATGGTTTATGGAGTTTCGATCCCAAATGTGACGTGAATTCACACAAATTGTTCAATGTCCTGAAATGTTCTGTGCTGAAACCAGCTCAAGATGGAGCTGACAAGGTGATCATGGACCGAAGGACGCTGAAACCTAGCTTTGCTGCATGCAAATCTCCCTCGGGGTCAGGGTGGACATGGAAAAGAAAGGAGGCCTAGTTCGGATTGGAGTGTGAAAAATGAGGTTGAAGAAAGAAGAGATTTTATCAATTTGGCCGAAATGGTACATTCTCCATTACGAAGCTACAATCCATTTCTTTTTGAAAACTTTGGCATTCGTTGTGGCATTACTGATAAAATCATAGGTTTTCAACTTAGTCTAGTGGTCGCATTTTTCACGCTTCCAATTCGATTATCCTATTTCTCGTTCATGCTCTTCTTGTTTCCATTTCGAACTCTCAAAAATGTACCAAGAATGTGCAGTGTCATATCTAAAAATGTTACTTCAGCGGTATCCTGCCGCGTGCAAGCTCAAAAGTCAGTGGCAGTGAATGTAGGGTTTGCTTTCTTCAGGTCACTCTATGTGCGTTCCATGCTTCTTGGAATTCTGGCATTCGCGTTTGTACTAAGTGGATTTATTATGAGACACTTGGTTGAGAATCCAATTCAGACAACAGAAGCCCTCAACTTTGATTATACCAAATCATGTCCAGTTGCTTTTGTACCACTCATGTCATCTTCTCGTGTCAGTAGCGACCGTGCGATACCTTATAACCACAAATTGCAGCTCGCTGTTTCGTTAACTGCACCTGAATCCGAATATAATCACAAGCTGGGTGTTTTTCAGGTATGACATCTGATCACAGATTGTTAGTAAGGTAAGGGTCGAGTTCTTGTCAGCAAACGGCAGTGTCAAAGCTAGCTCAAGCCATCCGTGCATGCTGCGATACAAAAGCGAGCCAATTCACTTCATCGAAACATTTCTCAAAACCGCTCCTCTCATTACCGGTTTACAGTCAGAAACGCAAGTTCTGAACATAAAAATGAGCGGACACATTGAAGGACTCGAGCCGACTGCCTACTTGAAGGTGATACTAGAGCAAAGAGCCGAGTTCCAAAATGGTGCCGGCTTACCTCAAATTTACGCTGCATCACTAGTGCTCGAATCTGAGCTTCCTCGGTCAAAAAGGTTTGTTAGGAAGTGGAGGAGAACAATATTTGTGTGGACAAGTCTTGTTTCATTTTTGGCAGAGTTGATGTTCATCCTAGCATTTTTCAGACCTATTATTGTCCCAAGAGGAAGACCGAAAATATGTTACAGTACTAAGAAATTTGATCACTCAAACATTATTTTCTGGCAGAAAAGCAGTTATGTGCTTCCAAGGAACACTAAATAAGTCTTTGAGCTGAACCGTAGCAAATACCAATTTTAATTGTTCAACAGCCATTGAAATGCAAGCATGATTAAGGTTTTTCTCAATTTTGTGTCTCGTTTTTTATTTTTCATTTTTTTTTTTTTTTGTAGAGCTGAATACCCTTTCTGCATTCTGAATGATGTGAAGTTTGGTTTTTCCTATCCCGAAATCCTTCCATTAGGCCTTGTTTGGTCTAGATGATTGAACTCCAGTGGAAAATTCTCGAAATTCAAGGTAGATTGAAGCAAGAGGAGAGTGATTTTTCATTCTGAGAGGATTAGACGTGAAAATAATTCTCCATTCTAATCCTCTCATTTTTGGAAAGATTGGAATGATAACTTTTCTTCCTGGTCTGGAAGAAAAGTGACACAAAGTTGAAGAATGCGGCTTTCGTTTTCAAGGCATAGCGCTGTTGAAGAGCAAGCCAAACTCAACGGGCTATCGTATATCAGGCAGTCGCGGCAAGAGCCTGATGACCCAGAGTAGCCATTCATCCAAGAAAGGACAAGCTGGTCCGTATGAACCCATTCAGCATACGCCGGGTTGGACTTGGTAGTGACTTAACAGTTGCCGCCGGACAGGAACTTATCGTCGGAGCACAAAAAATGAAAACTAAAAACGAAATGCGATGATTTTGTATATCCTGTGCAATAAATCTTACTGCGTACTTAAATTTAGCTTTATGTACAAGGGAATATCTGAAGGCGCCGCACATAGTGAAAAGACTTTTCTCTCCAGAAGGGCAAAAATTTTAATTAGTGAACATTACAAGCAAAAAAAATTGAAAAAAAAAAAATTAAAAGAAAACAAAAAAGGTCTCAGTGGAGAAAAAACAGGTAACATTAGTATAATTAGCAGTAGAACATGATTCACATATTCACATGTGGTGGGTGTTTTTGAGCTTGAGACTGACTATATACACTTGCATTTTGCACTCTGTTGGGACCTAAGCCATCAAAATTCAAGAACATTATTTAACTGAATCGAGAAGTATGGTCGACCAACATTGGAAAGAGGAGTATCCACTCTTAAAACGATCCCCGAGTCCCCAACATTTCCATTCCATTTGGATCTGCCAACCTGACGATGCAAGACCGAACAAAGAAGAAGATAGTAAGAGAAAAGCGAGTACGGCAAAGTACAACTTATAGCAAAAAAGTGACTTGTGCGTAAGTTATTTCAAACACAACTTATAGCAAAAAAGTAGATACCCAAGAGCCCGAACAAATATGTTATATACGTTGTATATGGTAACTGAATTGCAAGGTCAAATACCTAATACAACTTAATGCTAATGGAAATGAACTGTATCATATAACGTAACTGTATACGGGATAAACATATAAAGGAATGTTGTTAGTGAGCGTGTAGGAACGTTGTTAGTAAATGTGTGTTTCATGATTTATACATATACAATGAAGTTAAATGAAAAAGCTTCGCAAATCACCACAGCATTATAAAACTTACAAGATATGTTTAGGTGAGGGATTTCCAAGTCCCAAGGGTTTAATGACAAGTTAGTAAGGAATGGATCACAAAATATTAGATAGGAGGGTTTAGATGTACATCATATGAGCATCAACAAGCATATAGGCGGGATTTGTAAATGACTCCCTCCAAGTAGGGGATTTTTTTGCAAATCCCTCCCACATTCCTTGGTTATGCTCATATGATGCATTTCTAATCCCTCCTAACTTTTTGTGATCTATTCCTTACTAACTTGACCACAATTCCCTGGGATTTGGTAACACCTCACCCAAACATAGCCAAGTTTGCCAAAATATCAATACAAGAAAAAATCAGATGGTACACACTTCACAATCAAGCAAACAGTTTTCCGACGAATAGGGTCTTCAATAACTTTTGATTTTACTTGGAAATCATGAAAAGAGCAGAGTGAAATAAAATTTTCTTGAGATGTTTTCATGAAATTAAAAGCTTAAGTAAGGATAAAGGTGACAAAGTTTGTGCTGCATAAGAAAATAAGTGAGATCCCAGAGAACTAAAGGCTAAAAATGATAGAATAAGCACTGGTATCAGCAATAACATACCGATATTGAAGCAAAAGCAGAAGGATGTGCTGTAAATGCACCACCACATATAAGATTCAGCTGCTCCTTCACTGAGTGAATGAGCTCTGCCTGCAAACCAGGATTGCTTCCACCAATAGTGGGACATAAACTGACCATTGTAAAATTCCATGAAACATATCAACACCAACTAATGAATGTTAAAAGCGCACATGAAGATGAAAGATGAATTTTCATGTGTTACTTGACGTAGTTAAAAGATGTCAATATTACTGATGTGCACAGGCTTAACAGGGATAGAAGAAAGTAGTTTAAAACATGCTGGGTACCAATTTTCCCTCCGCAAAATAAACCAGATGTGAATTAACCTCTAATGATTAATATCACATCTTAGGCCACATAAACATGTGCAAGTCAAAGATTCCAAAATTTCCAACCATTTCCTACAGTTACATCAGACATGCGTCATATGATGATCACCTTGTGAAACTCTATGAAATATCAAAACAAAATTACTCTTGTTAAGCCCCAGTTCAACTTGAGAACATACCTTTTGCCCAACTCAACCCATAGAATCATAAAAAGCTGAGAAAGAATTAAGATTGGGATGCGAAAGTCTTGCTGGAACAAATCAGTGGCCTCAAAGGCATCCTTCAGACCTAGCTCTCTTAGGGTAAAAATATTTTAATGCTCTTCTTCTTCTTTTTTTTTTGGCATAATTTTTCGTCAAGACATGTGCAGAGACCAGAAGGGAACGGTAATACCACTTCAACAGCATATTATCATCAGATTCAGAACAGCATAAGTAAAATTCATTTGAGTTTTTCTGGGTGGTTAATTATTATAGAGACCAGTATCAACAACTGATATACCTCTTTTCTTGTAAACCCTCAACATAGCACATAAGAGAAGAACCTTTAGAATGGAAAGACAATAATGTACAGCTAAAATAATAGAGAGACAGCATAACCAAACCTGAACTGAATTGTGGGCTTCACCATAAGACCAGATCGCTGCCAAGCCAAGGCTTGCGAAAAACCCAGTGTAAAAGACTTATCTGGCCATTGTATCATGGGTGTGATGCGTGTTCCCCACTTATTCTGAAACAAAAAAGATTTAAACAATCTTAACTATAATCAAACAAGAAGACTAAGCGTAAAATAATCTATATAAGTCTATTCTGGTACAAATTGTGAATAAAACTACTACAATTCTTTGTAAAAAGCATTTTACTAGTTTGCAATCTAACCTTGCGAGAGAAACTGAATATCATTTCTCCAGGATATTGACCTTGAGCTTGTAGAAGGCCTCCACAAAGAGGTAAGAAAGCACTTGTACTAAGTCCTTCACCAGATATATATGTAAACTGCCCGTTTGGAAACTGTAAATCAACAAACGACTGGGCACAGAGAGAGTGATCATGAGAACCAACGCCATAGACACAATAATAGTGCCGACACTGAAACACAAAAAAAAAAAAAAAAAAAAAAAAATATATATATATATATATATATGAAAGCACAGAAATATGTATTCTAAAGAATCAACTTACACAAGTTAATGGTTTCAGGCAGACCATTGACATTAAGAGCCACCTTCTGTGTTTTGACCACACAGCCGGACAAAGAGAATGCACCCTATTCTGATAAATGAAACGAGTATATGAGAACATGGCAAGGAAACTGGAAAATGTGGAGAAGCATCAAGCTTCTATACATGATATAATGCCTCAATAGTCCACCCAATTAGTTTTACTCTTGTACACCTTGCAATTGATTCACATATTTAAGTTTCAGGTTTTTCTTTTCTTCTTCCATACTTTTGGTGCATTGGATGCTCTACTGGTGACTTCTAATGAGACTTTCACTTGTTACAGAAACAATCAAGCACAAGATTATTCCTTTCTTATGATATTAGTGATGCATTGACAAGATCTTCAAATAAAATGCTAGGTCGAAAATCTATTCCAAATAGTCAATTTTGGATGATGGGGGAAAAGAGAGAAGTAGAGCACAACTCAAACATAAATGAGATTCATATTCTATTTATCATTTTATCTCTAGATATAGTATAACTATTCAGGTTTGATAAACAATTACTTTTACACTTGAAGTAACAAAATACAATTGGCCAACAGAATTTATTCATACCTTCCTATCATAGCCATACCAAAGCAGGTGTTGCTTTGACAAATGCACTGGAAGAAGAAGAGTTGCATCACGAACAAAGAGTAACGGCCCAAGCTGGACAAGGAAAAGTGATGAATTGTCATTTCTAGATGTGGAACTGCCACTAGACGCCTCTACTCTCCATAAGTCTCCCTTTGCAAGGAAAGAACTTTCCAGCTTACGGGTTCTAGTATCATAACTTGTTGTGGTATTTACAGTCCCCTGCACTCCAGTACCCCACAAAAAAATAAAAAATAAAAAATAAAAGCAGTCAGTAATTGCACTACCAAGAACAACAACAACAACAACAACAACAACAAAGACGAAAAACGATGCACCGTTGCCGGGGATCGAACCCGGGTCACCCGCGTGACAGGCAGGAATACTTACCACTATACCACCAAGACCAACCATCTAAAATTCCAAAGGATTGCAACTAATGGTATGGGTGATTAGTAATAACGACAAAGTGATGAGAATGATAACAACAAATTGATGCTGCTAACAGGATATTGGTAATGATCACAACTAGTTCCACTGACCAGTAAACTGTAAATGGCATTCCAAATACACTTCATGAATAAATTTCCCATATCAATCAAACTTCTACCAATCATAAACACAATGTGCATTAGAAATCCTAGAATTTCATGAAAATATTAAACACCCTGTAGATTATAGGCAAATGGTTATAGTTTACTCTACCACCAATCACAACACTACAAAACTTCCCAGAAGAAAACGAAATAGCATCCGTTTCAACAATTCCCCTCATCATGAGTTCTAGTTTAGCATACAAACTATCCTCAGAACAAAAAATCCTACAACTTATCCTGAACTTACTGCACCGCGTACATGAAAAAGTGACTATAACATTCTATCACGAATTCTAACATTGCATGAAATTATTGAGCACCTTACTAATTACAAAAAAGTGGTAAACTTTAATCTAGGACTTATCACATGACATATTTTCCTTTCAAAAAACAACTTGAGCAAATGTCCACTTCTATCAGCACTAAGTGATTATCTATGAAACACAATCATGCTCTATCATAATTCATATGTGTGGTTCTGTAACAAGTTAAAAATGTAACTTGGTGCTCCAATTAGAAATGAAAGGTGCAACTAGTTCATACATAAAGACCATAAATTACATACTACAATAGGTTGAAAAAAACTTACCAGTGGTCTACCCAGAAGACCAGCAGACCTTAGATTCAAGCCACCAAGTTCCTCATCCACCACACCATCAGAGCCACCATCACTCTCCACAACCCTGAAATCCTTCAACCGTTCCTTCAACGGCCCCAAATCCTCCTTGCCACTCAAAATCATATCAGCTCTGTGCTTAGCCTTACCCGAATCAATCCGAATTGCCGCCAAATCAACATTCTCATCATGCCTAAACGGCACGGGTAAGGCCCTAAAGAACTGCTGAAGCATCCCATTCAAGCACGCCCCAAAATCCGCCCCGGCTTGCCCAATCCTGTTACCGATATCAAGAATCGCAGAAACCCCGTTAATGCCCGGGTTCTCAGCCACCAAGCCAACAAAATCCCTCTTGCCAAAACTCTGGTTCGGGAATTCGAGGTCGAAGAGCTTCGATGTGTTAGGGTTTGGCCAATGAAACGACGGCGGAGTGATGTGGGACTGAATTAAACCCGTGAAGCCCTGCGTGAGGCGGTCCGCCAAGTCCTGCCCATGGCGCTGTACCTCCTCCCATGCTTCGAAGGGGCTCTCGACCGACATTTCGACGAAATTTGAATGCTTTTTCTGCTATTCCTCTGAAACAATCACAGCTTCTTCATAGCACAAATCAACTGGACGAATTATCGTTACCAAAAACAATGAAATTTGGGAATTTTAGCTACTGATTAGGTCCAACAAACCTAAAACAGTGAAATTACAATCCCAAGCTTGAAATTTAAGCTTTCAAACTTAGAGTTTTCAGATCAAATTCGAAAAGGCAAAAACCGAAAACAGTGAAATGTATTTGAGCTTGGAAACGGAAGTTGTCGAGCTTCTAGGGTTTTTCAGTCAAAATTCGCAAACAAAACAAATCCCAAATTTCAAAAGAGAAATCGAAAATTGAGAAAGGGGAAATTAAAGATTTGATTCTTCGAGGAGCTCCAAAGAAGCAACTGAAAGACAAAAAGAAAGGCCGCACTTAGTTTCCGTTAACGCAACGCTAACGGGGAAAGGACGTGTAACTTGTGAGGACGTGTCTGGATAGGGGAGTAAGTGGATGTAGAGGCCGTCACAGGCCAATTGCAAATTTTAGATAGATTTTAAGAATTTAAAATACAAGCAACATTACCATTTAGTACTACGTTCTAGTGGTATTCCTCTTTACTTATTAATAAGACATCTTAGATTCGATTATCAACAAAAACAAATTTGAACTACATTATGACTAGCACATTGTGAGGCCAAGTCCACTCATCCCTCTTAATGTAGATAATATCGTTTGTTTGAAGAAAAAAAAATTAATACAAGCAACATTTCTATGCTAAGCTAGACTAAGCGAGGTAGTGGTTTGAAGAGGTCATTTTTTTTTTCAATTTTAATATACGTGAGATTATTGTATTAAAAAAAAAAAAGTGATATCATTATTCTAAACTAGACAAAGAACATGGGAAGCTTGAACTACGAGAGTCGTAGTGAATTGAAAAAGAAAGTTATAACCATCAAAATAGTTCATCACTTGTAAAAGAATCTTACTTTTATATTTTCAGTATAGTCACTAGCTACATGGATTGTATCATCGATTCACCTTGCAAGCACATTAGGATTCACGAGGCTTTAGGCTTTATTAAGGGCATGTTTATTTCTTACGATGAATGAGAATATGACTCATTTTGATCTTGAGTTTCATGCGTTTAGTAGAATATAAAAATAGAACCAACTAATTTGAAAAAAATTCCATTTTTATTAACACGCAAGGAATAAAAAGTGTTAATTTTCTCTTAAAATTCATAATCAAATATCTAAACAGCATGAATCAGATCACCTAGGGGGGTTAGTTGATCCCATTCTCTTTCCTTACTTTCCCATGTTCCTAAGTTCTCCCATTCCCTCCTTATTCCATTTCTATTAAATAATGCGAATACATTGGAAAGTAATAATTCATAAGGTTTATTACTAGATCATAATGCTAGTGGTAGGGCTTTTTTGGATTAAAGGGTTTTAAACTTAATAACTAACCGTTTTTAACAATAGCTACTCCAGCAATAGTCACGTTTGTTCCATAATTATTCCCTTTTTTTTTTTTTTTCTTATAGGGATTACATAAGAGAATCTCTCTTCATTAGCGGTGCTCCTATCGTTGGATTCTGTCAAAACATTTGTTACATATGGTCGCATGTGAGTACATGCCCATATATATATTCATCAAATTAGCCCACTTTGGTGGTGAGCTCTCTGCAGCTCTCCCACTGGCTAGGTGTTCATCTGCTGTAAATGGAGCATACAAATTGAATTGGCATATAATGTATATGTCATAATCCAAAGAAAGTACAAATCAAATGAATATATTAGATGGAATAATATAACATATACATATATATATATATATATATATTTATCAAAAATAGCCAAAAATTAACTCTTAATTTCAAAAATGTCATTTTTTTTATAAAATCTTTCAAATGTATCTAAAATTCCACTTAAATATACACAAATACCCTCAAATTTAACAATAAAATAAATTAAAGGTTTTTTAGCCAAAATGATTTGTGACATTGACATAACTTCTTAATCTGGTCCTTAACAATTAATGATAATCAATAGTAGTGTTCTTTAATTTGTTATCATGAATCATTTTAGTCTTTCTTTGAAGTTGTTCATCGTGGTCATTTTAATTTTTTGGTGAAAAATCTATCAATTGCTCTGTTAATGTGATGATGTGGCACCACATGGGTTTCACAAATACAATCATATAACAACATGTGGATTAACTTTAAAAACTATTTTTTTATATTTAAAACTAAAAATGATATTAGTAAGAAAAAAGGCGTTGAAGGCATGATTGAAATTCTGCTACTCCCACTTGCGGTAGCCACAGCGGCGCTCAATGTCGGTGATGAGGGGGTCGAAGGGGATAAGGTTGTTGTGGTGGAGTGTAGAACCGAAGGTGAAATTGGACCGAAACTTGAGGTGACAGTAGCTAAAAAACCTTTAATTTATTTAATTGTTAAATTTGAGGGTATTTGTGTCTATTAAGTGAAATTTTGGATATATTTGAAAGTTTATGTAAAAAATGACATTTTTGAAATGAAGAGTTAATTTTTTGCTATATTTGATAAATACTCATAATATATATACCGCCTAGTTAAAAATTCAAACTCCTTAATTATCTGCACAGTATTATCGCTCAGCCACACAATCAAATCCAAAAACCACCTCCTACTAAATGCTGCGCACGAGCAAGAAAGAACCAATCTTTCATATTGCACTTCGACAACCCCGGATTGGATGAGCATACCAAGCTTAATAGTTCATTTCTATCTGCTGTCGATGTGATTGGAACTTGCAACGGGCTCCTATGCCTTGCTGCTGACTCGAGTTATAGCTATGCTGCAATAATTTGAAACCCTAGCATTAGAATAGTGATGGTTTTACCTACGCGTGAGGCTGATGGTATATTTGTTACGATTCGCTTACCAATGACTACACGGTTATGAACTGTGACTCGTGATTCATTTGTTACAAAGGCAACAAATCCATGTGAAGTTGACGTCTGGTCGTTAGCCAGGGTTTATTGGAAGAGTCTTAATGCTGGGGTTATTCTTGCAGACTTTTGACCTCCAGAGGATCGTCATGCACAAAATGATTTTGTCTATGGTGCCATGCATGCATAGGGTTCAAAATCGTAAGATATATACCCTTATTTTGTGGTTTGATATCGCCCATGAATTATTTGGTGATATATTTTTACCCGAAGATTTGCGAAAAGAGAATCGTTGTTTTATTTCGAGGTACATGCATGGAGTCCCTTGCCTGGTTCAAGATTCACGAAAATTTAGTGGAAGATAGCAGTGTTTCTCTATGGTTGATGAAAGAGTATGGTGTGACGGAATCGTGGACAAAATTATTAACTGTATCCATGCATGGGTTACAGATTGAGCCATCTTGTTTCAGAAAGAGTGGTGAAGTTATGCTTAGAGTGATATACTTTACTGTTTTATGGATTATTTTGTAGAGAGCCTTGTAAATTTACTGTTTACCACTTGCTCTTTCTTATTAAGGACTGAACCAAGTAAAAAAATGGGACACTTTAGATGCGGTCCCTAGCTATCAATATTCTTTGATTGAAACCTGTTAGTTTTTAGTTTTTTATTGAGGTCCCTAACACTAATGTAATAATATAAGTTACTATATTTTTTTAAATTAAAAATTAAAAATTGAAATTTGTAATTGTTTATATTAATGAGATTTTAAATAAAATCCATAATATATGGGATTAAAAATAATAAAATATAAATTATACTCTCTATTGTATTGTGTGTGTGTGTGTACACATATATGTATCGGTACATTAACCAAAATTAACAAAAAAAGTTATTGTACCAAAACATGGATACATTCTCAAATTAACGAAAAAGAATGTACCCATATAAGTTTAAACATGGATTAAAAAATTTGAATGGATTTTATATTAAAAAAGGGTACATTTTACATATAACAAATTGATATATTTGAGAATGGGTACATTTAAGATTAAAAAAATTGAAAAATTATATGAATGGGTACATTTAAGATTAAAAAATTAAGAATCTTTATATATATATATAAAAAAAAAAAACTAATAGGTACAAACTTAATTTAATTTAATTTTTTATTATTTTGGAAATGTTTGAATTGAAAATTAATTAGAAGTTTAATAGGGGTGTGAGTATTAAACCCTAAATTAATTACTATTTTTATATTAAAAATTTATATAATAAACATGTAAATTCATTATCACATTAATGTTAGGGACTTGAATCAAAATTTGAGAACTAATAAGGTCTTAGTCAATGAACAGGAATAACTAGGGACCGGATACTAATTTTTCCTAAAAAAATATATAAATTTTGAATTTATTGTTTCCCACTTGCTTCCAGTTTTGTATGTTTCACGAATCATGCACTTTTGTCAAACGATAGATTTTATTCAATCAAATCTAATTGATACGTTCACATCCTCAGTAAGAATATTAAAAAGAAAATCGGGACCAATACAATCCCAAATAAAAATTCCCCTTACAGATTACATGAAAGCGCATTTTTGAAATTACTTTTCCATGTTTATTGATTATTAGTTGAGAAGGGATACAAGTCCAAATAAATAACCATAGATATAGGGGGAGATTCATAAAAGTGCCTAAAAACGGAATTATTTGGGAAATTATGTTATAGGCTTATTTTACTAATGGAAAAGAGAGGGAGAGGGCCGACAGCAGATAGATAGAGAAGAGAGATTGTGTGTGATTTCTCGCCTGTTTCCTTTATTTATAGTGATAAAGAAGAAAGAATCTTGCTCTTTAAGTAATACAAGATATGTACAACAAAACTATCTAAAAAATATTATAGAATCCTACACATAATCTCACTCCTAAATGATTTACGACCGCAACAAATCTTTTATATTTTTTGGGAAAAGCAAGTCCTTTTTCTTGCGAAAAAAGGAAGTCTTCTAATATCCTAGTTTGATTAGGTTTAGGATAGACATGGGAAAGTGTTGCTTTTCAAAGGTTGTTTTGTATTTCTTTTATGATATGCAACGCAATTGTACAGACAAATATAAGGAGGTTGTCCCTCCTTGAGACTCTAACCTTCCTTAATTTATGCCATAATGAGCGGCTTTAGGAAAGCTAACAGTGGCAGCTTTAGGAAAGCTAACAGTGGCAGCTTTAGGAAAGCTAACAGCAGCTCCTTGAATTAAGGAGTTGACCACTATACAAGAATTGCTAAACAAAAAAAAAAAGAAAAGACAGTCGGCACTTAGAAAACAGTAACTAAATCCCTATTGTCCAGTTTACAGTGAAGCACCATAATACTTTGGAAACCCTAATAAACCACTGGACATCCAAGACTTCCAATACTCCATCTCAAGCTGGATCCAGAAGATTGATGGATCCAAGCCTGGACAGAAGCCTTTGAAACTGATGAGAGGCCAAGGGTTTGGTGAATATATCGGCCAATTGATCGGAACTTCTTG